AATGTTTTTCTAGATTTATACAAAAGGAAGCACGTATAGTATGTAACCCTGTTGCTTCTCCATTTTTGTTAAAGTCTAGAACTTCTTCAAATGACCTTTCCAGGAAAGCAAAGGTTCTTAACACCAGTACGGAGTTTAAGAAACAAGAAAGTGTTCATGGTTTAAAATCTAAACTGCCTTGCTTGGTTTGTGCAGACATGTCACACAGTGTTGCTAAATGTCCTAATTTGCAGTTAAATCAATGGAAGACAAAAGATCATTATATATCAAAACCATCTTTGTTTTGGATGCTTAAGGAAAGGTCATTTATTGAAAGACTGTAAAACGCGGCATGTTTGTGGGGAGTGTAGACGGCATCATCCTACTTGTTTGCACAAGGAGAGAGTGAGATCTCATGATGTTGCTCAGCAGTGTTCCATAACTCCAGAAGAAACACCTCAGGTTTCTCATAGTGTTTATCTCATGCACTCATCCGAAACATTTCTGCTACATCAAGTATTGTTCCAGTTTTCCTGTCCTCTGTGAAGGATCCTGGGAAGGAAATACTTACATATGCACTCCTTGATACTCAGAGTGACTCCTCCTTTGTTTTAGAAGATCTTGTGAGAAACTTGACTGTTGAAACCAAACCAGTGCAGTTAAAACTTAGTACCATGGTTTCTGTTGATACACCCATTTCAAGTCAAAGTGTGTATGGCTTGCAGGTTCGGAGTTTTTTCTCTGATACTTGTATACAGTTGCGGCAAACATATACACGTGACTTTATTCCTGTTGATACATCTTGCATACCAAGTAGAAGTACAGCATTACAGTGGCCTCATCTTAAACATCTAGCTGGCAAAATGCCTGCTTTGCAAAATGTGAAGTAGGTTTACTTATTGGTTTTTGACCGTCCTGCTTTGGCTCCCTTGGAAGTTGTTGTTGGTGGGGAAAATGAACCTTTTGCTCAGAAGACTGCTCTTGGTTGGAGTATTATTGGGGCAATTAATCCACATTTAGATCGGCAAGGAAACCAAGATATGTACACAGAGTGATGGTGAAAGAAATGCCCACTCCATTAACTTCTGATGTTTTAAGAGCTTTGGAGTTGGATTTTAATGAAAGGGGTTCAGAAGGAAGAAGTGTTTCCCAAGATGACATTCGGTTCATACAACTTCTGAGCGAAAACATTATACAGAAAGATGATGGCCATTTGGAGATGCCCCTTCCATTTAAAACATCCTGCCTTCCTATGTTGCCAAACAATAAGACGCTGGCTACCGTTCGTTTACAACATCTGAGGAGAAGGTTAAAGAGAAATGATCAGTTCTACAATCATTATAAAACATTTATGGAGTCTATCATTAACTGTGGAGATGCTGAACTAGTTTCTGAGGAAAATGCCAATGATGGTTGTGTGTGGTACTTGCCTCATCATGGGGTGTATCATCAAAGAAACCAGATAAGTTAAGGGTAGTGTTTGACTGCTCAGCTAAATTTCGTGGCATCTCTTTGAATGATACTTTGTTGACTGGTCCAGATTTGATCAACTCTTTAACTGGAATCCTCCTGCGTTTCAGAAAAGAAGCTGTGGCTATTACTTGTGACATTGAAAGGATGTTCCACCAGTTTTATGTTGCGTCTAACCATCGCTGTTACCTGAGGTTTTTATGGTGGGAGCAAGGAGATTTGGAAAGTGAGCCTAAAGAATATCAAATGAAGGTCCACCTTTTTGGTGCTGCCTCCTCTCCAGGCTGTGCTAATTTTGGTCTGAAATATTTGGCACAACTGCAGAGATTAAAGTTTCCATCTGCAGCAGCATTTGTGGAGAATAATTTTTATGTTGATGATGGTCTAATAAGTGTTCCTACAGCTAATGATGCAACCAGATTAATAACTGAGGTGCAGAAACTGTGCAAGGAAGGTGGTCTGAGACTCCATAATTTAATTCTAATAGGCCTGAAGTCCTAGACTGTGTGAATCCATCTGAGAGAGCCACAAGTACAGTTTCTGCTGATCTTAAACCTGATTCAAAACTTGCTGAACATATTTTAGGTATGCGATGGCATGTTCAAAAGGACTGTTTGGGTTTTCATATTGACCTGAGGGACAAACCTGATACACGACGTGGTATTTTGTCAGTAATAGCTTCTATCTATGATCCATTGGGATTTCTTTCCCCACTCATTATGAAGGGAAAATGCATTTTGCAAGATCTGTGCTGCAGAAGTATTGGGTGGGACGACCCTCTGCCTGAAGACTTACTTGTACGGTGGGAGAAGTGGAAGTTTAGCCTTCAGGATGTGAAGAAGTTATTGATATCGAGATGTTATCATCCCGATGGATTTGGAAGGATTGTCAAATCAGAACTGCATCACTTCTCAGATGCTAGCAGCCGAGCATATGGTGCATGTTCCTATCTCAGATTTGAGAATGACAAGGGTAAATACATTGTGTTTTGATCATGGCTAAAGCTCGAGTCGCTCCTTTGAAAATTACAACCATTCCTCGTCTCGAGCTTTCAGCTGCACTGGTTGCTGCAAGGTTGAGTGTTCTGTTAAAATCAGAACTTGACATGAAGATAGACGCTGAGTTTTTCTGGACAGACTCACAAGTAGTGTTATCATATATTAATAATGAAGCACGACGGTTTCAAGTATTTGTGGCAAATCGAGTCCAAATAATCAGAGAAAACACCAATCCGAGTCAATGGAATCATGTCGACACTACTGAAAACCCAGCAGATCATGCTTCGAGAGGGTTAACTGCCTCTGAGATTTTAACAACCAATTGGCTGACAGGTCCTGAATTTTTGCGGGAAAAGGAAATTAACCGGGAGTTAAAATTTTATCCTGCTCTTTTAGTGGGTGACCCAGAGGTTAAATCTATTCAAACATTTGTAACAACAGCTAATGACACTCCAGATTTTTTGGAACGTTTCACTAAGTTTTCATCTTGGTCAAAATTGATTAAAGTTGTTGCCAGAATCAAAAGACTTGGATGCCACAACAAATGCTATTCAAACGTGGTGAGTGTTAAAGAACGGGAAGATGCAGTTAAATCAGTGGTGAAACTTGTACAAGAACAGGCTTTTGGCTCCGAGATGAGGTTGTTAAAAGGGGGAGACATCCTTCCCCGTTCTAGCCCTTTGTTCAATTTGAATCCTATTGTAAAAGATGGACTGCTGCGAGTTGGTGGACGATTAAAACATTCACCTCTTAGTGAAGATTTTAGATATCCACTGATTTTGCCAAAACACAGCCATGTTACTCATCTTATTTTGTCTTACTGTCACAATCAAGTAAGTCATCAGGGCAGAGGTCAAACTCAAATGCAGGTCCGGCTTAATGGGTTTTGGATTATTGGCTGCAGCAGGTTGGTGGCTCAGATGATTCATAAATGTGTGCAGTGCAGGAAGATCAGACGTCCAGTGGAAGAACAACTTATGGCTGAGCTTCCAAAAGAACGCTTGGAAGCATCTGCACCATTTACCTATTGTGGAATGGACTGTTTTGGTCCTTTTATTGTTAAAAGAAATCGTAAGGAATACAAAAGGTATGGGTTGTTGTTCACCTGCCTTTATTCAAGAGCTGTTCACATTGAAATGTTGGAGGATTTGTCCACAGATTCTTTTATTAATGGCCTGCGCTGTTTCATTAGTTTGAGAGGAGCCGTTCGCCAGATATATTGTGATCAAGGAAGAAATTTTGTAGGAGCCCAAAATGAGTTTAAACAATGTGGTCCTAAACATTTGGAGTCTTTCCTGGCAGAAAATCAATGTGAGTTCATTTTAATGCACCATCAGCAAGTCATGCTGGTGGTGTTTGGGAGCGTCAGATACGAACCATTCGAAATGTATTAGCTTTTACTCTATCACAAAACTTGGGAAAACTTGATGATGCTTCATTAAGAATTTTCTTTTATGAAGCCATGGCCATAATTAATAGTCGTCCTTTAACACTGAAGGGAATGAATGACCCTGGTTCTCTTGAACCTTTAACTCCTAACCATCTGCTTCAGATGAAGTCTGAGTCTGCCTTGCCTCCTGTAGGGAAATTTGTGAGGGAGGATATCTATTCCTCAAAACGTTGGCGCCGTGTGCAGTTTCTGGTTGAGCAGTTTTGGAGTCGGTGGAAGAGAGAATACCTCCAGAATATTTCCATTAGACAAAAATGGCATGTAGTTCGGCGCAATTTAAAGATAAATGATATTGTAATAGTAAAAGAGGATTTTCTCCCAAGAAATAGGTGGCAGTTGGGTCGTGTTGTTGAAACAATTGTTGATAGCGATGGCTTGGTTCGAAAAGTAAAATTGAGGACAGGAGAACAAAGATCAGGTAGGGATATTATTTCTAAGAGTTCAGTAATAGAAAGACCGGTGCAAAAATTGGTGGTGTTATTAGAAAATGATTTGTAAACTTAATGTACACAGACGAGCATGTTTTTAAACAATCGGCATGATTTTTAAAAAAACTTTTAAATAATGCATAATTTTAGTAATGGTTCATGCATTATTGGTGGGAGTGTAACGGATTGTAAAATGAAATGTCTAAATTATTTGTAGTTTATTTAAATTAAACAATTTAAATGAATTTCTAATTTAAGACTGTTGCAGATTGTTTATGTATGTTTGTCTGTTTTGGTTTGCATTGTTGGTGATTTATTTGGTTTAATGGTATTTTGTAATGTTTTGGCATTTTTTGTTTAATACGTACCTCACGGGCTGCCGTAGAGAAAGAGGGCAGGGCCTATAAAACTGGGGAATTGCAGTGAACCAAATGAACTGTCAAACGTTGGACTAAGAAATGGCGTTCCCCAGTAAAGGCAGCGAGGTACGTTTTTGTTTGTTGTTGTATTGTTGATTTGTGTTGTATTTTAATATTTGTATTTGTTTAGTTTTCACGGTGTTGGTGATGATGTTGGTGATGATGATGGAGGTTTTGAAGTCAAGTGACCTGACGATGATCCAGCAAAATCATCAAAGGAGAAATAAAGCCAATATCACCTGTCGAGACCGCTGTTTTTAATTCAAGTACTGGGGATCAGCTACAAATGCGCTGAAGTTTCTCCACTGTAGAACAAACATGTAACTCATCCTCAGCTGCATCATAACGGACTCATCTCTGCATCACGGCTGAACATGTGAGGAACAGAACGAACTCAGAGTGAGAGCTGAGCAGAGCCTAGGGAGACGCCGCCTGTCCTATTCCAGCCAGCAGGGCGATGAGGAAGGACAGGTTCCCGGTGAGGAAGAGCGCCACCAGCAGGACGTCCCGTCCCACCTGCAAACAGGAGAGCTGCCGTCATTCAGGAACGCCGCCTTCACTTGCTGCTTTGGCTCCTTTCCTTTACCGTGTCAGGCTCCACAGGATCGCTGCTATCTGCAACCACAGCACAGAGGTCAGAGGTCAGAGGAGGATGCTGGGAAAGATTTACACTTGTTCTCTTTGCAGGATCTAACAAAAGACTACGTTTTGATACCAACGGCTGCTCTGAACGGGTCAGAACCATGGACGGAACTGTTAGACTTTAAATATACAGAACTTTGACAGAACCCGACCAGAACCAAACACAATCGATAACACTTTGGTGAGACGCCCAGCCGTTCTGATGCTGAGCGGTTCTGGTTCTGACCTGCGGCGCTCCGCCATCTGGCTTGCAGCTCCATCAGGATGAGCATCATCACCTCCCAGCCGGTGAAGCCGCCCAAAACCTTCATCATCCAGCCATCGCTGCTGCTGTCCATCATCATCATGCCTGTAAATATGGCTGCCACTGTGGGCGGAGTCAGGAAGTCTTGATTAGGGTCTGGTGCCTTCATGTCACCGTGGGAGAACTGAAACTCACCTGCTAAGACCTTCAGAAGCACGGCGATGACGAAATGAGCCCAGTTGAACAGGAACCGCCTGAAACAGAACCAGAACTGGTTTTATTGGTTTTACTGGGAAACTTTGGACTTCCAGCCCGGTCCAGAATGGAAATAGGTCTAATCATTCAGTTTTATCAGCTAAAATCCTGACTGGAAGAATTTTGGAAGCTGTTCAAGAACCCAACCATCAGGTACCAGAACAGAAGCGGTCAGAACCGGAACCGACCTTGGATGCTGCGGCGCACAGCGCGTCAAGGCCAGGATGGGCTGGATCAGCACCAGAGTCAGAACCAGGCAGCCCAGCACTGAATGAACTCCCTGTGGAGAAACAGAACCCTGCAGATCAATCCAGCCCAGTGGTACCAGGTTCTGGTTCCGCTGTTCTGTTGGATCGGCCTCCTGACAGCACTACGTAACAGATGATCACGTTTTATTTAATCAGGTCGTCATAGACTTGTTATTAGCAGTTAGCTTCATCCATGCTGCCCCCTAGGGGACGTGGGGGGAAATGTTATTTTGCATTCAGTCGCAATAAGTAATATTTATCATCTATTTTGTATAATAACAAAAGTCAATTTAAAATTTCAGATATGTACACATTTAAAGATCCTCAATAAAAACATTATTACCGCTGCAAAAAATTATTAAAAAGGATTTATTCACTGCATGTTTATGTCTGTGTGATGTTGAGATGGATCTGCTTATGAAAATAGCTCTTTACCCTGACCCCTAACCCCTGACCCCTAACCCCAACCCTAACAACCCTCAGACCAACACAAACAGACACAATCAGATGGTTTTATTACTCAGCGACAATAACCCAGAAATAGAGCAAATAGTTTGGATGTATTTTCATTTCTTTCCTTCTTACAGGAAGTTTCTGTTTATGGATGGAAAGAGAGGAAAACCTTCAGCCTGTTCAGCTTTTACATTTTGAACACAGTCTGATATGAATTTCTGTCCCAAAGAAAAAGATGGAAAACTTCACATATTTAGCAACCAAATATTAACATACATGGAGAAACCTGACATAATCCTCACATTCCAGCAGCAGGTGTCATGAATGAACTGATGAATGAACTGATGAATGAACTGATGAACGAACTGATGAACTGATGAATGAACTGATGAATGAACTGATGAACTGATGAATGAACTGATGAATGAACTGATGAACTGATGAACTGATGAATGAACTGATGAATGAACTGATGAACTGATGAATGAACTGATGAACTGATGAATGAACTGATGAACTGATGAATGAACTGATGAATGAACTGATGAACTGATGAATGAACTGATGAACGAACTGATGAACTGATGAATGAACTGATGAACTGATGAATGAACTGATGAACTGATGAACTGATGAATGAACTGATGAACTGATGAATGAACTGATGAACGAACTGATGAATGAACTGATGAATGAACTGATGAAATGATGAATGAACTGATGAACGAACTGATGAATGAACTGATGAATGAACTGATGAATGAACTGATGAACGAACTGATGAATGAACTGATGAACTGATGAATGAACTGATGAACTGATGAATGAACTGATGAACTGATGAACTGATGAATGAACTGATGAACGAACTGATGAATGAACTGATGAACGAACTGATGAACTGATGAATGAACTGATGAACGAACTGATGAATGAACTGATGAATGAACTGATGAACGAACTGATGAACTGATGAATGAACTGATGAACTGATGAACTGATGAATGAACTGATGAATGAACTGATGAACTGATGAACTGATGAACGAACTGATGAATGAACTGATGAACGAACTGATGAACTGATGAATGAACTGATGAACTGATGAACTGATGAATGAACTGATGAATGAACTGATGAACTGATGAATGAACTGATGAACTGATGAACTGATGAATGAACTGATGAATGAACTGATGAATGAACTGATGAACTGACGAACTGATGAATGAACTGATGAATGAACTGATGAATGAACTGATGAATGAACTGATGAACTGATGAATGAACTGATGAATGAACTGATGAATCAACTGATGAACTGATGAATGAACTGATGAACTGATGAATGAACTGATGATGAATGAACTGATGAATGAACTGATGAATGAACTGATGAACTGATGAATGAACTGATGAACTGATGAATGAACTGATGAATGAACTGATGAACTGATGAATGAACTGATGAACTGATGAATGAACTGATGAACGAACTGATGAATGAACTGATGAATGAACTGATGAATGAACTGATGAACTGATGAACTGATGAATGAACTGATGAGTGAACTGATGAACTGATGAATGAACTGATGAACTGATGAATGAACTGATGAACTGATGAAACTGATGAATGAACTGATGAACTGATGAACCGATGAACTGATGAATGAACTGATGAATGAACTGATGAACTGATGAATGAACTGATGAACTGATGAACTGATGAATGAACTGATGAACTAATGAACTGATGAATGAACTGATGAACTGATGAATGAACTGATGAACGAACTGATGAATGAACTGATGAACTGATGAATGAACTGATGAATGAACTGATGAACTGATGAATGAACTGATGAACTGATGAATGAACTGATGAACTGATGAATGAACTGATGAATGAACTGATGAACTGATGAATGAACTGATGAACGAACTGATGAATGAACTGATGAATGAACTGATGAACTGATGAATGAACTGATGAACGAACTGATGAACTGATGAATGAACTGATGAACTCATGAATGAACTGATGAACTGATGAATGAACTGATGAATGTACTGATGAATGAACTGATGAATGTACTGATGAATGAACTGATGAATAAACTGATTAATGAACTGATGAACTGATGAATGAACTGATGAACTGATGAATGAACTGATGAATGAACTGATGAACTGATGAATGAACTGATGAATGAACTGATGATGAACTGATGAATGAACTGATGAACTGATGAATGAACTGATGAACTGATGAATGAACTGATGAATGAACTGATGAACTGATGAATGAACTGATGAACGAACTGATGAATGAACTGATGAATGAACTGATGAACTGATGAATGAACTGATGAATGAACTGATGAACTGATGAATGAACTGATGAACTGATGAATGAACTGATGAATGAACTGATGAATGAACTGATGAACTGATGAATGAACTGATGAATGAACTGATGAATGAACTGATGAATGAACTGATGAACTGATGAATGAACTGATGAACTGATGAATGAACTGATGAATGAACTGATGAACTGATGAATGAACTGATGAACGAACTGATGAATGAACTGATGAATGAACTGATGAATGAACTGATGAACTGATGAATGAACTGATGAATGAACTGATGAATGAACTGATGAATGAACTGATGAACTGATGAATGAACTGATGAATGAACTGATGAATGAACTGATGAACTGATGAATGAACTGATGAACTGATGAATGAACTGATGAATGAACTGTTGAATGAACTGATGAACTGATGAATGAACTGATGAATGAACTGATGAACTGATGAATGAACTGATGAACGAACTGATGAATGAACTGATGAATGAACTGATGAACTGATGAACTGATGAATGAACTGATGAATGAACTGATGAATGAACTGATGAACTGATGAATGAACTGATGAATGAACTGATGAACTGATGAACTGATGAATGAACTGATGAATGAACTGATGAATGAACTGATGAACTGATGAATGAACTGATGAACTGATGAATGAACTGATGAATGAACTGATGAACTGATGAATGAACTGATGAACGAACTGATGAATGAACTGATGAATGAACTAATGAATGAACTGATGAACTGATGAACTGATGAATGAACTGATGAATGAACTGATGAATGAACTGATGAATGAACTGATGAACTGATGAATGAACTGATGAACTGATGAATGAACTGATGAACTGATGAACTGATGAATGAACTGATGAATGAACTGATGAACTGATGAATGAACTGATGAACTGATTAACGAACTGATGAATGAACTGATGAACTGATGAATGAACTGATGAATGAACTGATGAACTGATGAATGAACTGATGAACTGATGAATGAACTGATGAATGAACTGATGAACTGATGAATGAACTGATGAACGAACTGATGAATGAACTGATGAATGAACTGATGAACTGATGAACTGATGAATGAACTGATGAATGAACTGATGAACTGATGAACTGATGAATGAACTGATGAACTGATGAATGAACTGATGAACTGATGAATGAACTGATGAATGAACTGATGAACTGATGAATGAACTGATGAATGAACTGATGAATGAACTGATGAATGAACTGATGAACTGACGAATAAACTGTTGAACTGATGAATGAACTGATGAATGAACTGATGAACCGATGAATGAACCGATGAATGAACTGATGAATGAACTGATGAATGAACTGATGAACTGATGAATGAACTGATGAATGAACTGATGAACTGATGAATGAACTGATGAATGAACTGATGAATGAACTGATGAACTGATGAATGAACTGATGAATGAACTGATGAAGTGAGGAATGAACTGATGAACTGATGAATGAACTGATGAATGAACTGATGAACTGATGAATGAACTGATGAACTGATGAATCAACTGATGAACTGATGAACTGATGAATCAACTGATGAATGAACTGATGAACTGATGAATCAACTGATGAACTGATGAACTGATGAATGAACTGATGAATGAACTGATAAATGAACGGATGAATCAACTGATGAACTGATGAATGAACTGATGAACTGATGAATCAACTGATGAACTGATGAACTGATGAATGAACTGATGAATGAACTGATGAACTGATGAATGAACTGATGAACTGATGAATGAACTGATGAACTGATGAATCAACTGATGAAAAGATGAACTGATGAATGAACTGATGAACTGATGAATGAACTGATAAATGAACTGATGAATCAACTGATGAAAAGATGAACTGATGAATGAACTGATGAACTGATGAATGAACTGATGAACTGATGAATGAACTGATAAATGAACTGATGAATCAACTGATGAAAAGATGAACTGATGAATGAACTGATGAACTGATGAATGAACTGATGAACTGATGAATGAACTGATGAACTGATGAATGAACTGATGAATGAACTGATGAATGAACTGATGAACTGATGAATGAACTGATGAACTGATGAATGAACTGATGAATGAACTGATGAATGAACTGATGAACTGATGAATGAACTGATGA